TTTTTGGTACTATTGCGGTAAACTTTTGGTAGGTTTGAACATTGCTTCGTGCATTTGCTGCACGTCTGATCTCAGGATTAGGGAACCGACTCGAAGAAATTGGGAAAGTGGGGTAGATATTTTTTTCAGGATACTGTTTTCACTCAGGGAGTTGGACACTTGCCGGATTCAAAATTCTGTTGGTCCAAAACATTTACCTCTAATCAGGCAACATCGTCTGCTTTGCACGTACATTAGTGAGATGGCGTGGTGGGCAGTTACTTTAAAAAAACTAAGCCAGTGCTGCAACCGCGAATTAACAAACCTCTGTTGGACGTGGGCAATTTGAACCACGAGTCGCAGGCAGCCGTCTAGACTGCGCAAATGGGATAACATTTAAAAGTTGAAAATAAAGGCCCTGTAGACCTCGCACACCAACGCAGCTGCAAGAAGCTTTCAAGTCCATCGACTGCGTCGTCAACAGCCACATTAGGCTGTATTTCCCTATCTGTAAATTACGAAGCCTCTTGGCAGAAGCAGTACTGGCATAGGAAAATTATTTTCCCTGTTGGGACCGACAGTGCAATGAATCACGGGTCTCATTCAGTCCAAAAGTGGGCACTAGCGACCCACCACAGAAAATGCTAACCGGAATTGTGAATTTCGTTTTCTATTAAGAGAGACAACGTAAATGACGTGACTCCTGCGGCGATAGGTTGTGCTGGTGAGTGGAGGGAGGTGTAAACGTTTGGATTTTGGCCACGTATTCGGGGGAGGGGGGAGGCTTCAGCGTCAGGGAAAGTCTACTTGACTGAGCACGGACAACCTAATATTGTTTCAGGCTGGGCGCAGGTTAGTCGACCACTCGTATTTGCGCAAACCCATGTTTGTGATCACAGATTCAATTGGGATGGCACCGAGGTGATCGCCATGGCCTATACGAGGCAAGCGAGAGAATTAATCGAAGTTTGGCCCTCGAGCCCGACTTGATTCACACTATACCAGTTTTCGCGCATGGTCGACTAATCTGCCCCCAGCTTGAAACAACAGCAGGCTGTCCATGCTCGGTCAAGTGGAATTACCCTGACTCTGACCCCCCCTCCCCCGAACACGTGGCCCACAATCCAAACATTAATACCTCCCTCCCCTACCAGCACAACCTATCGCCGCAGGAGTCACGTCATTATAACCCTCCCGTTCGTTGTAACCTCTGCCCCAAAAATCTCTAGTGCGACATTCCCGGCCCTCACTTTTATTTGGTCTGACGACGAACAGGCGATACCTCTTCGAAAATTAACGAGTACAACTCGATTTTTCAAATATCTTTCTTTTTTCACCACATCACCTCGGAATGCAGTCCATATCACTTATCCAACTTAAGTCTCCCCTAATCTCGATCATATTGTGGCCGCGTGTAATAATATATAAGTTATGTTACAACGCCGCATTTAAATGCGCGCCGTTAGGGCTCACTGTTAAACTGCCATTGGAAAGAGAAGAGTCCTTTGGAATTATAATTTTCTAACGATCATCCTTACGCTAGTAAATTCGAAACTTTTTAAAAAAATAGAAAACCTGTGCAAAATATCGCTTCTTTTCCATATTAGATAGTCAATGATTTCATCTTTCAATTGTATGCTCAAAAAAAAGCTATCTTTTGGTTTCGCAAGGGTTTTTTATCATGGCAGTTTTAAGACAACAGAAGGTCTACTCAAGTTGCATTGTACCTGCCCATTTATTAACTCCCCTCGAAAAGCATAGTAAAGCCCGCATCTAATTTAAAAATTGAAGAACAGTTAATGACGGCTATGTAGTGGCGTAGATGACTATTCCTCACAAGAAAAGGACACAGCTCCTTAATTGAAAGACCTAAGCCTATATACAACGACAGATCGCATTTAGATAAGTTTAAAGCGATAATCAATGGAAAAATATCATGCAGCCGAGGTATTGGCTTAACTACAGAAGGTTTCTTTTTTCTATGACCGGAAACAATCTATTTAAACACCGGCCTAGTGGCTCGATTGAAATGTTAGGGGTTTTTTCTCCACCATATTTTTTTTTATTAAAGCCATAGTTAAGTAAATCTCTCCAACCAAACAGATATTAATAAATGTCTGTAGCAAGCGAAGAGGACTCCACTACAAACCGGTCGGAAGAGTAGGCAGAGTTGCCAGGATCCTCTACCGTGGGAATAAGGCGCCACACTAATTGCTATTCAGGACCCTGATGACCTCCAACTCCACGGCCAACTAATTAGCGTACACCACTATAATTGCGCCCCATCCTTTTCGATTGCTGTTTCTACGCCCCTGACAACCTGATGTTTTCTGACAGTTGATTAGCCTATGGTCATTATAATTGCACTCCTCTTAGTTGCTGTTTCGCATCCCTGAAGATGGACTCTTTAAGAGATCGAAAGCTCATGACAATAAACTAATTGACCCGGTGCTCAACACGTCTCCTCTCTTGTCTATGCAAATACCTGGAGCACAAATCTTTTTAATTCGTTCGGAAATGTTTGTTATTTTTTTCGCTAGATAGCCTCTACTGTACGTTTTGTGGACATATTGACAGACCGCGTAAAAAAGCCTCATTTTATTCACATGACTTGCGACTGACACAACAACTCAGCCTGTCAAACACGTAAACGCAAGTAGTACCTTGTCTCTGTAGCGGCGCTTGGAGACATCAAAGGACTGAATCAGGGCGGCGGCGTGTCCCACAACAATGGCATAGCAGGTAGCCCCGGCCATCATGCTGATCGCGGTCATCCAGGCTTCGGAGAGGCTGTTGGGGGGAAAACGACCGTACCCTATGCACAGCATGTGAGATAGGGCCTTGAAGAGCGCCCAGGTGTACTGATCGAACCAGCCAGCATTCTGATTTCAGGAGGAGAGAAAAAACTGTAATTGTAGGACACCAGCTTTGCTACAGAAAACTTACAGTAGTCACTAAAGACCCTGCAACTTTCATGAGTAAATTTAGCATGCTACTTTAGCAAATATTTGGTAAACGTTTTTTGATTCATTCAGTTGAATTAATTTTGTGAAAGCCTTTTAGTTAGTGAAATCACCATGTTGGTTAGGTTCACTAAAATAAATGGCCATTAATTTTGGCGAAATTTGGTGCGATCTCATTTCGAAGGTATTTCCTATGCTAATAGGAAAGACAGAATCAAACTGCTTATTGCTGTTCATTATATTATGGAGGAACACCAAAATAAGGAAAATAGGTATAGAGCTGGAAAAGTTTGTCCAAAATTGTTCAGATTCGAGTGAAACCAAGCTGAAGGAATCACATTTATTTGCATAAACCACTGAGATTCATATTTTAAAAATTATGTTTGGCTATCCTGTGCAGATTTTTGCACAAAATGCAATAACAAGAAGTTTGGTCGGAAATTTTTCTTTACCGCACAGTTGTCCTTGCACATAAGGAAGGTGTCGTATATGCTACTGCATGTATAATTTAAAGAAGACCTTATTGAATGTAAGTTATGCAGAAATGCAGTTGTTGTTAATTATAAGTTCTGCTATTGTGTTATTTAAAAACGAAACAGACAGAAGAATGATAAGTATTAAAAAATTGGTTCTATATATGGCCTGTTTTTTTTGCATTCGCAAGTTAACAACAGATCGTGGAATTAATCTACTTATGCGGAAAACGATCCATTATAAGGAGAAAAGTAAGTTCTTTAATCTCCAATCAAATTGAATCGTTTATCTGCAGGCGAATCAAAAAATTGTCACAAGTCGCCAATTTCATTGTGAAGTTACGTTGAAAGTAGTTAATTTACACAGAAATGCGTCAGCTGAATATCTAACCAAAACACTTCTTAAGGAGGTGACCTTTTTTGGAAAGTTTATTTTTATTAATCTTAGGAATAACAATATCAAAATTCTGTGGACATGATTTATTCTCGACAATGTGGTTTGCTGTTTTGAGGCATTTCTTAATATCAGCAGCATGACCATCTTCATTAAAACTTATATCCGAAAACACTTTTTTCGGTAAGTGCTGTTTATGTATATCTTATTTTCAAGTTGTTTGTTTTAAATGTTGGACAGAAGGGCAATTTATTAATGAAAACACTGAAAACGAAAGAAATGATTATGCACTTCTTTCCACGATATTCAATAAATACCCATCAACTGGTGGTTATATGTACTAAGTATTTTGACGAAAGAAAAGCTTTTTCTATATAAAGAAAGTGGTTGCTTCAAATTTTCAAATTAAAAAAATATAAATTTATTCTTCTTATTTATAGTTATTTTTTACTTCGTCAGAATTTTGGGATAACCACTAACATTTTCAAATTTTTACAAACACTTAGTACTTCTTATAATTCTTTTAAGTACATAATATACCTAATGCTGTCCATTATTACTTCTAAGTTTTCATAAATGCATTCACACTGGCATTCGAGTAATGATAAAACTTTTACAATGTTATGAAAGTTGCGCGATTTTTAGCAAATACTGTATATGTTGTTAATTGCACCCTACTAACATCCAAAAAATAACCGTAAAACGAAAAAACACCAGCTAATAGATAGTATGTAAAATCCTAACAACCTTGTCATCAAGGATATGCCAAGCGTTGCTCGAACTTCTGCTTTGAGTCCAGTACGTTTAAAAAAAATGGCAATTAAGAAAATTGGGCGGGAATGTTAAAGATCAATTCATCTGAGGACTCGGCAAGCTGTCCTGCTTAGGTTTCTCCCGAAGAGCGTACTCATTTCACAGTTACTGAAAATAGAGCGATATAGAAACAGAACACACTATTATGCACAAACACGCCGCCTACAGGTGAATAAACAATCAAGATTAATGCGAACACAAATAGGCTGTGATAGGCCTCAATAAAAACATGCACTTGGGCACTAAAAAGTGGTCTTTATGGTTCGTTACTGGATATTACGCGAACTCATGCGCAATCTGTCCTCCAGTGTGGAACCTTTGATAATGACCCTGTTCAACAATATTTGATATAATATACCCATTCAAATAAAAATTAAGGTTTACGCCGTCCAATCGAAATCCCATTATTCGTCTCTCACAAGGCAAACTCCCTTTCTCCCTGAGAGTCCCTTTTACCGTGATTGCAAGATAAATTTCATGAGAAAACGTTTGTGCATTTCGTAGATAAAAACTTTGATATGATTAAAAATTGTTTACCTTAAACATTTTTGCAGAATGCTCTGATGTAGGGAAATGATAACGATTTCCCGTTTATACAAGTACCCATCGTAATATTAACGGCAGACATCAGGCAAAATCGATAGTTAGACGGAGAAACAAATACTGTATTAAAGCATGTGGCTTCACGCTAGATGGCAGTGTGGTACTTATTTCTGTGACCTTATTTTGAATCTTCCATTTAGAATGTAGTCCAAGGTTATGATTAATGCGGGGACGTCAAATCCAGTTTTCCCTCTATTTTCTTATCAATCACCAATAGGTTTCATTGTCGATAGACGTCAGGGAAATCGTTAATGCTTCTAACTCTCGAGTTAGAAATTCAAATTTTATACAAAATATATTTGATTAAACTGATAGCGGTACAAGGCAAATACTCATTGGGCTAGCTAGTAAAAATATTCGCCGTTTATATAAAATTTGCTAGCAACAAGAGCTGAAACGGCTTCCCTATTTCAACCCAATTATTGATATACCATCTCATTATAGAACGGTGGAGCAGAAAATTTTCATGTAACCACTATTCCAAGGCATTCATAGAAGTCATAATTTTGATCTAAGTGCCCAAATAAAGTATGTTTTCTTTATGGGAATTGCGCTAAGGTAAGTCACTTTTAAGATCCTATCTGTGACAGCGCAGTTTGTTTGCGCAACCAAGCAAAAGCTGTTAAGTGCAAAATGGCAATGCAAAGACGTTGAGTGTAGGCAGAGTCTTTTTTTAAGACCAGGGCCGAACAGACTACGCTTAAAAAGCAAAGTACTGCATGCATGGTAACGCACAACTAGTGGAGGCAAATTCTACCCCTTCATTCTCCACTCAAAGAAAATGGGCATAGGTTTTTAAAAGTTTTACTTCGAGTAGTGACCTTTGTCAGACTTTATGGTGCAGAATTAAAAACAAAGCGAAAACAGTTCAAAAGAACGGCGCTAGTTTTACTCGCCAAAATTTGGCGCATGAGCTAACGGGGGCATCTCGCACGAAATACTAACTACGCATTATTAGATACGCGTCTCAGAGCTTCCGCGTTGAAGTGGGTAATAGTACCCAATATTGGACAGGCTTCCTTAGTTGCGTCTGAGTAGTGGTTGAACATC